GCTGAGCTTTAAAAGCAGGAACTTTAATACGTTTTTAATGACTTTGCATGGATACGTGTCGAGCTTTATATCAACAGCAGATCCTTTCTTTGCTGCTGTGAGATACACGTGGAACAGATCCATCACATAATCAATGCTTTCTGTCTGCACACAGCCAACTTTTCCCTTCTGATCAATTAAAACACATCAAACTTAACTGTTTTTATATCCCTGTGATGTTTTTCTATTGAAACCACATCATATTTACACACATTGAAAGGATTAACTCCAACATGTGATAGTTCCGCTCTGTCTGTGGGTCTAATATATTTTATATGTATATTTAACGATACAACATCTGACTGGAAGCGAGAGGCGTCTGCTCCCCTCTGCACTCAATACTGAGGCCGTTTCTTAGTCTGCAGGATGGCAAAGGCCTCGTAAACCAGCTTTGATTCCTCTACAATGACCGCTAATGCACAAACTGACCCACAGTGGAGTTTTGGTAGACACACATGCCCGGACTCAAACCTGGCAGCGTAGCTCAGAGACGTGCTAGCTACAGCGAGGACTCTTACCTTACACACGAGTTACCACACGAGGAGGAAGAAAGAAAAGCAAAGGTAAACAGAGGGATCGCACTCACAGCTGAGACAGAAGTGCAATGAGCAGCTTTCCTGTCATTAGTCATAAACACAAATCAATACTGGTTCAGTTGAAATGGTTCGCCCTTTAAAGGCACCTGTGGACGGCATCGATCTGCACTCCAGTTTTTGTTAACGGCAGCTTAAAGGGGAGCACCGAGCTTAATGGGCTCTAAAGGCCAGAACATCAGGACGCAGCAGGACTCAACATGTGAACGGCATTATAGGGAGTCGCTACAACACGGGCCATGACTGGCTGTCAGCCTTTACTCGTACCTGAGAAGTTTCGAGTGGCGAGCATCGTTGTCAGGATGGCACCCTGAGGAGAGAGATGGACAGGGAGCGTCACAGCAGGACGAGCATGCTCTGGATTTCAGTGCTTTAGATGTGCACCGCTCACTGCCGCCGCCTACCTTGAGTTTCCTCCTGGCGTTGAATTTCTTGAGGCACTCCACAGTCTCCTGTCTGTGCATCATGGATGCCACAGTGGAGCGTTGCTGTGGAAACACACAGGCAGTGTCACAAGCTTAAACGCTACTACACAACCTGCCCGGGTTAGGGAGCGCGACACCTACGCAGATCCAGGGGTGTTTGAGTGCGTCGGTGGCCGTCACTCTCTTGGCTGGGTTAATGGTCAGCATCTTATTGATCAGGTCTTTGGCCTCGGGGGTCACCGTGTCCCACTCTGGGGAGGGAAACTGTTCAACGACATCGTGAAAACCATTTGGAGTTTAGCTAACCGTTATTGTTAAAAGGAACATTTCTCTGCACGTGTGTGGCTGCACGGTGTAACTCACATCATACGCCCCAGCCTTGATCTGCTGGTACAGCCTGTGCTGGTCCTCGTCCCAGAAGGGAGGATAGCCCACGAGTAAGATGTAGAGGATCACTCCTACGAGCAGCGGAAACCAAAGTTAGCCGAGAGCTCACGTCTTTACTAAAGCAAACCGAGCCTCAGGAAAAAGGCCGGCTTGTGTTCACTAACGTCACACCAGGACAACCTGTTTGCATTCAGCTGTTTCTAAATGAGCAGCAGACAAAGTCAAACAGCTGCTGTTTGTGTAAATGCAGACACACTGAGCGCTTCTGTTTGCTGGTGTCACCAGGGACGGGCTTTTTAATTGGCCGTCTGCCTGCAAAAGATGAAAAGCACTCGTATCTGCCGCTACGACCACAAACAACACCGCCCTTTGTTGCTGTGGTCTGAGTCAGGACAGGTGTGCTGCACGCATGTGTTTCCCACAGCTGCAGCCAGATGTGCTGCTTTCACTAGTGAGAGCAGTGATTAATCCAAGAGGCTGCCACAGAGCAGCACACAGGCCAGAATGACACGCTGCTGTGCTGCAAACACAACGCCTCGTCTCTTACCACAGGCCCACATGTCCACTGGCTTGCCATAGGGATCTTTCCTCAGCACCTCTGGAGACAGGTATCCTGGTGTCCCAGCGAAACCTGAAACACAGACACACAAGTGAAGCTTGTACAGACGACCCACAGCTCGTTACCTAAGCAGGTAGGACCAGAGGCCTCGTAAAGCAAGGTTTAAGAGCTGCAATCAAAGCACTCTGCACCAGGCCTGTGCTTTGGCTCACACACGCTCATGGGGGACGTCCAACTGGTACTTAAGTTAGGGCATAAAATGAACTGGTTCCAGATGGAAGCTGGTGCTGGGGGAACAGACTAATTATCTCAGAGCTCCACAGAGACTAGATGGAGACAAGTAGGCCAGACCTCCACCCTGATGCAAGCCGGCAGCAGTGGAGCACCTCGTCTCTGTGGGGTATTAGGGTGCGGTGACACAGTGACATCGTTGGCGAGCAAACGCCTGACAGATGTACCGGCTCGTGTGTAGTTACACAACATTTTGATAGACTGCACCTGTGCAAAACAGCTAACCTGTGTGTTATGTCATTACTTTTATCACCAGTATTTAGACACATCCCACAATCACAGATTCACTTTGATGGGATGAGTGCACACTGACATCTTTCTTGACATTCATGTTAAAACATGGTGTTGGGCTTTAAAACAGTCAGCTGATACATGAAGGTCGCAGCGCTGACACAGGTAAGTCAGCTAACACGGACCAAGCTGAGGTCACTCACCGAACCACGCCTGCTGATCTCCTTGAACCTCGATGGCCAGGCCGAAGTCTGCCAGCTTGACTGCAGCGCCCTTCAGCTTGCTGGCCAGAAGCAGATTCTCTGGCTTGGAGTGAAGAACAGGAAACGTCAGCATCCTGCAGCGGCTCAAGACAGGACTTTACAATGAGGCTGAATCAAGACTTTAGCACAGTTTGGTTGCTAGCAGCTAGTAGGAGGAGCTAACACAGCATCATCAAGGACTGATGTCAGAGAGCGTCCGGGACAGACTAATGGCTGGGCTGGAGGCCTCTGCACACAAACTCAGCACTGACTCATGCTGAGCCCGATCATAATCAGCCTCAGTCTGAGGTCGCTTCAGCCCGGCTGCACGACTCTTTCAATACGAGCGAGCCAGGCGGGGCCTGAGAGCGGCCGCGGAGGACACGTGAAGCGTCAACATATTCAAAGCAGTTTCCTCGATGTCAAAACGACAGACGCACACAACAACAACACAAGCTTGTTGTCCAACCACACCTCAGCGTCAGAGTTTGTGGACGACGCCCACACTGAGCTGAAACATGACAGCAACACCTGCACTCTGACCACAATCACTGTGTCATGCTCATCTCCACCTGGATGACGACAGCAGTCTGCCACAGGTTCATCCTTCAACAGCTGCATTCACACATCCTAGGTTTATTTTCCCGTTCATCCTCCTCTCAGCTATCTGAGCCCCGCCCCCTGATGTCCCCGCCCCCTTTAATGTTGGCTGATGTGTCTTTGACCTCCAAACACCGGGTCAGCCTGGTCTTTCCACCTCTGGATGCTGACTGCAACCGTCAGTCGTTTGGAAATTCTTCTGTAACCAACCAGTGAGAAACTGGTGAAGGTGTTGAGAGCTCACTGGTTTTGGTTATATACGTGACACCTTGGCCATGAGACGCCTTTTAACAGGCCGGAGTTGGGACCAGCTGATTGGAAGTAACTGGTGGGACTGCATCTACAGTTTCCTTTGCTCGTGTCGACTAGATGGTTTGAGCAACATCAGGTCAACATGTTTGCCATCAGTGCATCACTGATATTCTAACCTGCAGTATTTC